TCGCCGAGCCAGAACAGGTACGGCACCGTACCACGCGCGCCGGTACCGTACTCTGTGCGATGTAGGACGAGGGAAAAACGATGAATACCTAGAGGTGAACGAGAGGCAGCCGAGCGCTGGACGAGCGATGAATCAACGGCTCATCAGTGCAGTTATTTCGGCACCATTCTGGCAGGGCAACAGGCACTAAGTAACTAGGCGAGTAGGTGTCTCCGTCCTGCTCCTAATTATCCCAAACACCAGCTCATTATACTACTGATCTGTAGATTCGTGTCAAAGCGATATCCACCATTGGTCGAGGTGTGGCGGCGAGAGACGCGACGCGGCGGTGCGGTTTCGGAAACTGATGTCCTTTAATGTCCGCAAGTATCAGGCAGATGGTATCTGAGCTCCGACTAAGGTGTCTCCGCCGCCACAGCTGAGGTCTCAGGTGTCTGTCCTGTCGCCGCGTGCTATCGGTGACCTAATCGTCACCGATCGGTGATAGTTTGGGTATCGGTGACCGCGCACGGTGAGATGAGAACAGACTCGGGTCGGGGGCCCCTCACCGCTGCCGCTGCGGTTAGCGCGGTACGCCGCAGGCCCGCAACCTATGGAAAGCAGAACAGACGGATCGATGCCAGCGAGACTCCCATGCAATCATGGTCTCCGAACCGACAGACAGAGTACTAAAACGTGCCAGAGGCAAGGTTAACTGATTCCGAGAAGCGTTTACTTGTCTGAGATCTAAGGTAATTTTCTGGCGTTTAATTGACAGGAATGAGAGCTGTCGGAGTGCAGGTGATGGCCCAACTTCGAGGTGGAACTGATTGGATTGTTAATTGACAGCAGCTCTTGTTATTTAGACAAGAGCTGATCACTATCGCAACTTGTTCAGGGTGGTTAGTAAAACCCAGACAAAAATTAAAGGCAATCTCTAAACGTCTTCGGTCTTTTTTGTACGAGGATATTTCAGTCACATGAACTACACCCTCACTGAACCTCAAGACATTTTATCGTTAACGTTTGATACTCCGTGTTCGTTTCGTTCATTACGTTCATCCATTTGAACGTTCGATTGAAGTTCATTGAGTGCTCTGCGTGCAGATAGATAAATGAATGATGATTGCGGAGCTGGCGTTAAATTTGATGGGTCACGAACAGCACGCCGCCAACAACTGATCCCTGGTGCACACCCACCAGACTTCCCTAACGTAACGGACCCGCTGCCAAACAGGCGAGCCGACCGACACTCCGGACCATCTGGAGCGCCGGCCTGTCACTTATACGAGGGCACCACCCCTGGAGAACGACTCACCCGAGCAACCGACGTCTCAGCCTTCGCGTGTCACTGGTGGGGTGCCACCCCACCCCGGAGCAGCCCATCCATCATGGGTTACCGAGGCGGCGCCGGTGACAGGCGAGCTGAACTGAGACGACCCAGGGAAGACTGCTCTGTGTACTGCTTTGGCCGAACGCCGGAGAAGGGAGGGTAGGGGAGCCGCGAGGGCGGATCAAATTTCACCCCGAAGGCATCACGTGACATGTCAATCACCACAGAGGCGCGCACCCCTCGAGGGCGTCGGATGACGACCGATGACGTCTCTCGGATGACGTCCACTGACGTCTCTCAGATGACGTCCGCTGACGGTCGAGCCAACACGAGAAGATCACGTGACAGAATCGAGAGTCAGGACACCTGGTCAGTGGCTGACTTGAATCGCCCCGATGGCCACCGTGAGTCTCTCCTGGGATGAGCCGGCGGAATGGCGCGGCGGAATGGAGGTGCCGCCAGCGGCGGATCTGGGCGGCGGTAGCGGCGGCGGCTGACGTGTGACGTGGGAGGTCCCCGACAGCCCATCGGATTCAGCGCTCTGATCGATGGATTAATATCACCGTCAGAGCAGGCCCGTATCGGTACTGAGCGATGACCTACTCACAGTCCGTTCATCCGCCGCCGGCGCCGGAGTCGAGAGAAACGCGTGACTCGACACATCAGCTGACTTGGATAGGGTAGCCATTTGGGCGATTGATGGGGAATAAAATGGGCTGGTTATAGTTCATCGCAGATGCTATCGTGAGGTCAAGGAACACATAGAAATTATGTTCCGATTTGGCCTGAGGAGACAGACGAGGAACCGGAACAGTAACTGCGAATTATCGCTGAGCTTCATATAGGTTTCAAAGGGGCTACCCTGCCGCTACAAGCATTGTGCCAAGACCATAAAGTTTTGAGTCCAATATTTGAAGTCCAACCATGCAGTATTACGCTTCAGCTCAATATAAATGTGTTTCCTCGTCGCAAATATGGCATTGCTATTAAGCTATTTTTGTCTTCCGAGAGCGGCTCCGATACATTTGTCTCTGATGTAAGATTGTGTGCACTCAAGCAGCAAATGAACTATTTTACCTGTATTCCTCATAACTTGTCTCCAAAACACGTTTTATGCGTCCATCTCTTCCTTTACCGGAGCATTTACATGCCACCGAATTACCGCCTGTGAGTACAGATGCCGAACACACACAGTCAGATTGGTTAGCGTTGCGGGCCGCTCGATTACCAGGTGAACAGCGGCTGGGCTGCGGCGGAGGCCGTTATTATCGGTACCGACTGCCTGATTAGCTAACTGCCCACCCAGCGGCCGCTACTCGGCAGCCCCGAGTCAGACAATAGGCCCGACCACCGGAAGGGACGACAAATTAGAGGGAAATGACCCACCCCGGCAAGCAGGAATCACCCGAGTGCGGGCTGGAGATGAACTAAGGGATTGTTTTACACCGTAGGGACTCTGGTAAACATGAGTTGTGCGGGGTTCTAAAAGGTGCAGGCAATGTTTCCGTGGAAAATCATCGGTGGCTTGCATCACATAGATTTAATCGATTGTAATTTCCTACGTATCTAGCTGGAGGAAAACAAACACCGTATAACCGATCTAGCTGTCAGTTTAACTAAACTGCCAAACAATGCGTTATGGTGACATAGTCGAGCGAGTGTGGCACAATCGACATACGACAACAACAACCGCATGAATTGCAACACCACGCAAATCACAAGTGAACAATGAAGATGTTTATCCCACAATATACAACCAAAAACATTGTCATTGTCCCCACGTGAATGCTAGAAAAGCCTTACTGGTATATCGATGCTGGTATATAGCGATGCGGACTTGAACCCACTTCAGTGATGTATCTTCTTATTGCTGTGGGATGTGGTTCGCGGTGACGAAATTTTATTCTGCTGCGACGATCATCTTATCCCGCAATAACCCGACCTCGGAGGAGCGGACACATTTTTTCTCACTAAAGGTGGTGTAATTCCAATAAAAATGTAATAATTTTGAGTTAACAAAATGCATCGGAAGAGGGCAGCTAATCTTTGAAAGTTAACAATTAGAAAGCGACATGGATTACCAACTACGAAGATAGGTATCTACAGGTATCTACACGAACGACGAACTAGGTATCTACAGCTACTTCACTCATTCATGTCAATGTCAAAACATAAACAGACAAAATAAGACTGAACATTACTCTGAATGGAACAACGCTAAAGGAAAAGCAATATAGGTACTTTTTAAGATTATATACTTGTTTAATGATTATGGTTCTCGACTGTTTTTCGACGGATTTCATAGATTAGTTAGTACAATCGCTCAAGCAGTTGAAGGTGTAACAGAACAGCTGAACATTGCAGGGACAATAGCTCATGTTTATATTCATCGGATCCATGAAAAACTTGACATTGCTAATTCGGTTAGCCCCATGTTAGATCATTGAGACGCGAACAGCCTGTATGCTGCGAACAATATCATCATAGAGTTGACATGCTTCTCCTGACAGACAGATCCCGCCACGACCTATCTACCTCCACCTCAAACCACAACAACCACCACGGTCCCACCCCTCCCGATTAGAATCCCCCGTCTCCCCCCCCCCCCCAGACCCGCAGCCCTGCCGGCCGGAAGAGCTCCCTGTTGTGCCCTCTGTGAGTGCGGCCGGCCCGGTCACAGGTCAAAGGTCAGCCTCTCCGCCACCGCCGCGGGCAAGGTCGGTGTCGCACGGGCGCCGCGGGGTCGCCCTCAGTGAAGAGGCTCCGAATACCAAACAACGACATCTGAGGTGCACCGCCGCGGCGCCCGACTACAAACGATAATCGGGGCTATTCATATGGCTGAGTGGCGGCAGGCAGCTTCCATAAAGGGTTGAAGCTCAAAGTCATGTAAGTGGCAGGATCATTTCACTATTTTGCGAGCGTTCAGCAATGTTTCCAATACTTGTGTAACCACAGCTATCAGCTATGACGAAACTACAAATCACTCTCTGTAATGGTTTGATTTTACGTGTAAACAATCGGTTCAGTCGAATTCCTACCGAATACCACCAGCTTTTCCCAGGAAGAGATGGAGAGTAGGGACGAGAAGAGCCGAGGAGGTCGTCCTCTGATCTCGGTCAAATCATATCTCACCCACACCGTCCAGTTTTCTCACGGGGATCCATCATCCACCGCTCGCCCCACTGCCGGTGCCGTTGGGTCACTGATCCCAGCATCCATCGCGACTGGACAGTGTAATGGATCACCGCCATGCCGCCCCGCGCGCACGGCCGAGGGGCCAGGCCACGCCGGTCGGGTCAGGCATGGAGGGCCCGCAGACCGGACGGTAACACAGTCATCAGAGTGAGGTCGGGAGACGAGCGGACGGACGGGGCGGGGAGGTATGGGTTTGCAGAGGGAGGAGCACGGAAGAGGCAAGAGGCGATGGCAGGATTGGTGGTGAAGAGTGATGCAATGTAACAATGAGGAAGTTATACCAGATGAAAGGAAATTATAGGAAATTCCGTCATGGAGCGTACACACTACACATGCAATGAAGGTAAATGAAGTAATTATTTTTAATAAGCTCATGTAAAATGAACGTAGCATGTAGATAATGCAATTAAGATATGTAACAACTACGTGCATGGTGGGAGTGGCATGCTTAATGTACTGGAAATTTATAAATTTTGCTCCAAGCACCTACCTTCGGTTTTCCGTCTGTGATAAGACCTTGCAGAGGTCGCGGTTGCAATATTATTCAATCACTGTAGCTGGATATCCTTATTGCAGTACTCCACAAGCGCGGCCAATCACCAGTACCACTTGCCCTCTTCACGCTGTCAACGTTCACTCAATTCTGTCACTGCAGCTGTAATGTTTCAGAGCCTTTCACAAGACAGAGATGTCTTCAGCTTGAATTGACTGGTGCCGTCTGTAAAAGAAAAACAGTAACGTTAGATAGATCTACAGCGTTGCGGGAATGACTGGAATATGAATCTACTGCATACTCGCCCTCCAACATTAAATAACCAATTTAAAGACTCGCCGGTTGAACGGTTGGGAAGGTCTGTGGGGAAGGTGAGACCGACTGGAACCGCGAACGGCGCGGCGGTGGGACCGGTGCCGAACGTTCTGAACTTTCTGACCTTCCGACCACCCATCAGCGCCAGTGACTGGGGTGGTGAACGGGCGTCGACGGGATGGCGCAACAGACGCCCACGACAGCGCCGCACCGCCCGCAGCACGGCCTACAGCGCCGCCTCACCGCCCATAGCACCGCCACCCCGCTCACGACAGTGCTCTACCACCCATCCACCGCCTCACAGCCGTTTCCTCTTACAATTCCTGCCCGTTCATTTGCTTTGAGACTGACCTTGTCTGTTATGCTTCGTGCGGCATTCATGCGCTGTGGTTGTATCCCATGTTGGTCCCTATTGTCTCTACCACGTCAATGTCTCCCCATGTCTCTCTCTTTCCCATGCCAGTACCGTCTCCGCGCCATCCGGACGAGCGAACGGCGGCGCACAGGGCGAGGTCACGCCCACACCACACGGCGCGTTCGACACTCCCAGACGTTCGACGGGAGAAAACACGCCCCGAATGGAGCCGAGACGCATCTGGCAGTCACGGCGAGCTCGCGCCGCGCGCCGCGTTCGCCGCAGCAACACTAAACGGCGCGACGACCCGCTGCGAACAAGTCGGCCCATGAAATCTGCATGAGCGGGGCCGTGGTCGCGGCGGCTGGGCGGTGGGGCGGGGGCGGGGGAGGCCGACACGACAGACGGCCTGTGACCCATTGCCGCGTCTTCTCACGGCCCGCTCACACGGCGCTGGAAAGTGAGATCTGGCAGCATTGTGAGATCTGGCAGCACGCGACTGCTCGTCGCTCGTGAAATGGCCCACTTGGCGATGACTTTACCGGAGACAAAAGAAAAGAAAACCGGGGCGACTAGATTGAGCCCCCGTGCCTCAGGTCACTGATATCTCAATAAACCCGGGGTCGAGAGAAAGTCGGAAAGATGACGCTTGGCTGGGAAAGTTCCCAGTAGCCCTTCCAAGAGCTAATGAGCTAATGTGCTACTGATGGTTGGCACATAGCCTATCGATAAGCTCCGCGCAAAAACGATCAGGAGCCACTCAGTGTTATCGCGAACGGCACACTCTATCAAAAAGATGGATAAGCGTTTGGATGGTGCGGGGCTCATTGGTGATACAGCTCATGGCTCACAAGCACACTTCAGCTCAATGCTGAAGCTTGGTATGAATGGATACATCAAACAAACTGAAATTGGCACAGCCATTCTTCTGCAAATTTCCTTGCGAAATACGGCTTTACAAAAGATTTGAGCATCATGCTAGCCTTATGCTCGGCCGCGGCCCGTCATAAGTCTCATGATGAGGGTCCATGACCATCCTGTCTGCACATGAGCTGCATGTAGAGTAGGTTACAAATAACGGCACATTACTGAGACACACAGCGTTGTAAGCCAGCTGATAATTATCTCATCGGCCAGCTGACATCCGGTCAGAGTACATAGTCGAGATCCGGGACGGTGCTCGACACCGCTCACATAACTCCTGGGCTGACCAAGTGACCCATCATGAGAGATGAATGAAGAACGGATATAATATTTATCCGCCTAACACGTAATGACGAGCCAATGTCTTCCATGGGAGCAAGTTGGGAAACCAAAGGAAGGAAGTTTTTTGCAAACAAAATGTCCGGCTAAACGTTCTTCGTTGATCTAAATTTAAATGGAAGAGGTTGTATGAGTTTGAACCGCATCACTCAATCATTCAAGATCCACGAACATCAATCGATGTTGAAAAACGGACACATACGAAGACGCGAGCTGAAGATGCTCCTCCAGCGAACTGGAGCAGCCGCAAAGTGCACCATCTGAGCCGCATTTTGCCGGTGAAACTGAGCCCCATTATGAAGACCTGAGGTGTGCGGACCTCACAGGCGGCTCTGGTGACCTTTGACCCGAGGTCGGACGACTCTGTCACAGAGGTCGGCCGACACAGAGGAGCTGTCTCGCGCTCAGACCGCCGCGTCGGTGTGGAGGAGGAAACAAGACAGGTCAGCAGAGCTCATATAGTTCCTTCACAGGAGAGTACCGCAGACAAGGGACCGGTGTCATTCATCCAGATTGGCTTGCAGTTTTCCTCAAAAGGTAGAGAAATCATCGCACAGGTGTTGCTCCCGTTTGGGGATTATCTTTATAAAGGCCCTTTGTGGCTCTGCTCATTACAAGAGTTTATAAAGCCACCAGCTATATGGCTACCTCATTATCCATTACCAAGAGCATGTACCGATAGTTGGGTCAGAGTTCACTGGTGCTTACAGGCCCACACCCGGCTACCGCCCCCTTCCTTCGGCACGAGACTGCTGGGTCAATTGAGACATACGCAGCCGGTGTGCCCGCGAGCAGGGTCACATAGAGCGTAGGCGGCCCAGCTGACGAGATGCAAATCGACCATGAATCGTTACTGGCGTCCCCGTACGGCCTTCATCCCGAGCCTCGTAGATCAGGATTTAACGTGGCGGCCAAAGCGGCGCGGACGCGGCGGTGCGTATGTCACGTGCCGAGGTCGTGAGACGCCGCCGTCCGGAGGCGAGATATGGCGCGGGGGGCGGGTCCGTATCAAAGCGTCCAAAACCGCAGCATCCAAAGTACGCAACATCCAAAACCGCAGCGTCCAAAGTACGCAACGTCCAAAATACGTCCAAAATCGGGTTTATAGGGGGCATTCACAAAGTCCAAAACCGAAACATCCAAAAACGCAACGTCCAAAAACGTATCATCCAAAAAACGCAACATCCAAAATAACAACGTCCAAGACCACGACATCCAAGGCACGCAACATCCAAAACCAACCTAACCTAACCTAACCTAACCCAGGGGGGTACGCTCCGGCTGTTTAGCATTACGAAAAATGGTGACAGACGTTTGTGGAGGATTGTCGACGAACTCTTGTTCCGCGAGCAGTACTTACACGCTAGCGGAAAATTCACCAATCAGCGCTCGGCAGTACTCGACGCTGATTGGTCCGACGCTCGTGACGAAATTGCGGGGGACCGCAGTTATTCTCTATGGACCCGAATAGGCTTTTGGATTTCGGAGGAGTTTCTTTAAAATTATATGCTGTTTGGAGCTGTTTTCGAGTTGAAATATATTTCTTATGACTGTTAGCTATATAATGACACCATAAAATCATGATTTTAATAAATATTACCGATGTAATATCGGCCGAAAAGACATGCTGTCATGGCACGGACTGCCCTGCGGCTGATGTGGGGCCCCTAGTGCCAGCGTATGGTAATAATGGGTTGACGAAGGGTTATTGGAGAAACTTAGAGCCCCTTTAGCATTCAGTATAGGGTCATCAGAGGCCGGGAATGTCCATCAGGGGTCTGAGTAGGCCTGTCATAGGGGCATACATGACACATCATGGCCCATGGGTCAATGTAGATCCATTAGGGGCCGTTGAAGGGCCATCATTGTTCAGCGTGGGCTCGCAATTACCTCTGATGGGCATATGCCGTGCCCCGATGGACTAACGCTGGCCCCTGATGAACCATCACCAGCCCCTGATAGGTCTACAAAGCCCTCTGCTGGGTCCAAATTGGTCACTGATATGCCCAAATGGGCCACTGAGAAACCCGTACAACATCCCCTGACTGCACCTGCTGGACCAATGCCGTCCCCTCATGGGCCCACCACAGCTCTTGAATGACCTTTTCAAGTCCCCTGAAGTGCCTTTATTGGCCTAAATGGCCCCTGATTGACTGATGTGGTCCCTATTGGTCCTATATGGCCCCCATGAGCCCTCAACGTCGGCCTAGACAGCCTTACATTATATGCCACTGGGCCCTGTTGGGTCAGCACCGGCCCCCGATAGGCTTGCACACTGGACCCACCGGGCCTATACCGACCCATGAAGGGTCTATGTCGAACCCTCACGGACCTCCGATGACCACACGCCGACATGTGTGGCCCCATCAGCAGTGGTCCGTCTATCCCATGTACTTACGGTCTTTTTGGCCGATGTGACACCGGTAGTATATAGAATGTCATGATTAAATGTCGTTATTACACAGTCAAAAGTCACAGAAAGAATATCCAAGCTCAAAAATGGCCTCAAACCCAACAAAACTGGTATAAATCCCCTTCAAAAGCCGTAAGTCTATTAAACGCCATAGGGGAATAGCTACAGTCCCCCGCAATTTCGTCACGAGCATCGGGCCAATCAGCGTCGAGTATTGCCGAACGCCGATTGGTCGATTTCCGCTAGCCTGTAAATGCTGCTTGCGGATATAGTTTTGAACAAGTGAGGGTCGCGGCTACTAATTATCGCTTGTCACCACTTTTTCGTCGGGAACGTTCTACCTGGTTTATATAGCCTTGACCTAACCTAACCTACTGATTTTTGCCTACCGGGGATGAGGAAACCCAACCTAACCTAACCTAACCTAACCTTACCTAACCTAACCTAACCTAACCAAACCTACTGATTTATGCCTACCGGGGATAAGGAAACCTAACCTAGCCTAACCTAACCTAACGGTTTTGGATGTTGCGTACTTTGGATGTTGCGTACTTTGGATGTTGCGTTTTTGGATGATACGTTTTGGATGTTGCGGTTTTGGATGTTTCGGTTTTGGACGTTGTGAATGCTCCCTATATACCCGATTTTGGACGGATTTTGGACGTTGCGTACTTTGGACGCTGCGGTTTTGGATGTTGCGTACTTTGGATGCTGCGGTTTTGGACGCTTTGATGGTCCCCCGCGGGGGGCAATCGGGCGGCGCGGCCGCGGCACCTGCGGCGCGGGAGAGCCGACTGCGGCGTTTGTGGTGTGCTGCGCTGATCTGGTGATAGCGCTGGCGTACTATCGGTGTCTGCGGTCTACAGATCAAGGTGCTGT